ACACAAAACAGATAATTTGAAGCCTAAAACGACCGGAACCGAAACATTGTCTAACAAAAGTATTCCAAATATCCAAATATTCAAACCAAAACTGCTCGAACTAAAATAAATACAAGTACTACCAAAGCAAAGATAATACTGAAATCAAGTCTTTCCACAAAACTCTTCTTAGCATGGGGGTGGTTCTGGAGGAGGGAGAGCTGCTGTAATATGGATTAAAACTAAATTCTTCTTCTTTCTTCATTTCAGGTAGACATAGAATCTGGTGTAGTCAACAACAACCTTTATGCGTCTACCATTTTCTACGTTGCCCAAAAGAAAATAGACAAAAAACCCTAATCAGTCGGAACCGGCAGGGACACCAAAGCAACTCCTCACATCGAGGGAGATAAAAAACCATGGAGCTCCAGTGACCGGGAAAGAATCATGTACCACACAATAGAACAAACACAACAATAAAAAAACAGTTAATCATACCCCTACCAAAAATCCCCGATAGCGGATGTCAGAATTCTCCGACAAAAGGAGCTCTTGGACGGAAGCAGTCTTCTCCTGAATCCTTCAGCGGTCCATTCATATGTAATGTCGGTGAGAAGGTGATAGTAATCGGCAATAGCTAGTCGGGAAGGTCACATGTGGTAGAGCAGAAGATGGCGGCAGCCTTCACACCCTGATGAGAGCAACTAAAATGTGTAGAGTTAGTATTTTGATATATCTTTTTTTGTCCCGGAGTTAACCTTATGCAGTGGCGGGAGTGCCGGGGAACACTACCCAAATTTATTAATAAAAGTTAAAGTTGAGGTTACAAGAAAAAAACGTACAGACGATAGCAGTAGTGAAAATTAAAATTACTGGAATTTAACATTTCAGTTCCCTTGCTTTATTGATATATGTAATTGCATGAGAAGCAACAGTCTTTTTATATATACTTTTAAGTAAGAGACGCTTTCCTAAAAGGCACAAGGTCTGTCAACGGGTGAATATGTCAAACCTTAACGTAAATATGTATTTTAGATTTTTATTAATAATGGCTATTTTATTATTATATATGAAGAGAAAAAGCAAATGCTCAAAAGATATACTTAGTACAAGATTGACACTTAATTTTACTTTTTTCAATGAAATATAGAATTTTCAAAAGTAATATAGGTAGCATATTTTTCTTTTGAAAGAAGAGCACATATATTAAAATCATAGTAACCAACAACCCAATCACAATAGCATTCCAAATCCCCCCTCTAAACATCATATAACCAACATGCCCCCCCCCCCCACCACCACTCTATGATCAGACATAGAGTAGTTCACCAGAGGCGGCTTGAGCATTTCAGAGGCCCCAGACGAAAAATATTTATTATGTACAAATCACTTTTAAAATCGGATAAATTGAATAAAAATCACCTTATGAAAAAAGCATATTCAAAGTTCACGATATAATGTTTGTAATATTCAAAAGAATAAATTTTTAAATGCAAACATATGCAAAATACAAGGACAAACTTATACTTGTAACACCCTATTGGCCTATTATTCATACCTTTTGAAGTGAAAAATCAGTAATACCTTCATAAGTCTCAATTTTAAGCTCAAGTCATATTTACCGGGCGTTGGTTCGAGTTTTGGTATTTTTGGAGTCAAAATCAGGGAATTTGAGTCCGACACCGGCGTTTGAGAAGCAATAGGGACGAGTTGAGAAGCATTTGAGAGTTGATTAGGAGCATTGGAGGTCAGTGAGGTGTTAAAGACAAAGTTTTGAAGACAAAAGAGCTCTAAAATTAGGTACGAGATCAAAAGAAGACGAATAGGGTTTGAAAAGAGCGGTCAGGATGACGTTCTATCAATCGTTCAAGCATATATTTTCTTAGGAACATCCAAAGAATACCATTCAAGTTTCATATTAAATCCAACTTCAAGGGCTACAAATCATATGAAAATACCATTGCGAGAATATGAGAGAAGCAAGGTCAAAACAGACGATGAAGTCAGATAATCTCTGTTGGGATTTCAGAATGCGACATTCCACCATTTTATTCATATATTTTGACTCGATGATTCAAATCCAGTTTTGCAAGTTGTGTTGGATAGAAGACTTCATTAGCTACAACTTTCATGAAGGAAGGATAGTCAGACGTGAACTATGAAACTAATTTCTGCTTGCAGTTATCACTCGATGTATTGGCGGTCTACAAATAACACCTAATACTAATACCGGAGTAGAATTTTTTGGAGGCCCTCTTGGCAGTTGAGGCCCAATGCAGTTGCCTGGCCCAACTGCCCTCAAAGCCGCCACTGTAGTTCACCCAAAATTGAGCGAGACTAATTATTGAACATGCGAGAGCTTCGAAGCTACTATCAGCCAAAGCAGCTTGATTGCTTGCACACAAATTACTAGCTAACAACCTACGCCAAAAGATAAACCTATTTCCCCCAAAGTAAAGGATAACAATAACAACGGAGTTCATAATTAAAAAACTAAAATTGAATGAAACAGAATTAAATAAGATAAATCGATGGAGCGTCTGAATCCAAATTTCAAGCGTCGTCTTCCAAACCCTAGCCACACAAGTTCCTACATGATGGCGGTTCAGGAGGGGGACAGATCATCAACGCTTCATCTTCTTCCTCCATTACCTGAATCTGGAATTCTCCATGCCACATCAAGCAACGCCTTCCTCTCAATCTCTGATTCTCCACCGTGAAGCTATATCGGAATCCCAGCACCCTTCGTACATGAGCGCTCCATTGTGATTTTTCTAAAGTATTGGTCCCTAATGCACCTGAATCTATAGTCTCCACCATTAGTATCTCATCCTCTTCATCCATCTCCACTCTACCATAGGCTTGAGCTAGCCCCTCGATCTCACTCTGCCCGCGAGGAACAACCATCGTTGTCCTTGAGCGAAAGAACCTGCCTTGGCTGATAATTTGGAGCCTTCTCGAAAACGATGCCTTCCTCTGTTGTCGTGCGAACCAACTATTATAGACTAACCCACCCACTGAGTTATGCTAGCATTAGAACAAACTGCCGGACTGACCTTCTACCGATGCCGCTAGAAAAATCTACTCAAGCCTAGGGCAAAGCCCTAGGTGCCGTCCGCTTTCCAGTAGTTCTATGCCCCACAACCTTGTTAGGCAATAAAATTTGCATACTTATTACTACAGTAATATAGGTAGCATGTATTACTTATTACTCCCTCCGTCTCTCTATTATTATCTCAGTTCCTATTTACTTGAACAACACAAATCACTCTTAATCTCTTACTTTATGTATCAATTTTTTATCAAATTTGATTCTGTTTTTTACGACTTTGTAAAACTTTTAATGTAATTTCTGAATATATAATTTTTTTCTAAAAATAATTTGAGTGCTGACAAGGATTTATTTGCTTTATCGTCGGTCAAACCTCGTAAACCGCAATGAGACAATAATAGGGGGACAGAGGTAGTATTAATTATTGTTTTTTATGGAAAACGCCAAAATATACTAATTTATCTAATGGTTTGCAGTTACAAACAGTAAATAATTCAAAAATCAACTATCTTTTAACAAACTCCGTCTACACTCAAGAAAAGTCCTACGATCAGATTCTGAGATGGCTACTTTCAAAACAACACGAATCGCTAATCACCAAACGGGCAACATAGAGCTCTTCCTGAACCTTAAGGTCATCATACTCTTTACCACATCAACAAACTCCAAATAGCCAAAAAGTCTCCTCCGTCTCTTTACCTCAAAAGTCTCCACAAAGTATTTCCCTTACATATAAATATCTCAAATCTCAATCCCAATAATACTCCACAATACCATCAATATCAAATACTCAAATCTCAAATAAAATTCTCAATAACAATTCATACATAAATTCAAATACTCAAATGTAATTATCCATCACAACTAATACAAAAATTTTAATGCTAAAATTCTCATCAAGTATCAAATACTCATAATTTCAAATAAATAATTATAAATAGATTTATGAGGAAAAAGTATAATTTTGGTTGACATAGAATTTACCTCAAATAGCGATAAAGTCTAACCGAAGCATGTACCTCGATCTTCACGAAATCACCTAAGAATATTAAAATTCTAATATCAATATCAATTTATAGTTAAATTCATCTACCTTTTATTTATAAATTCTCTCTTATGATTTGATTCCTTTAAGGAATTTTATCAATTCAGGACCTGAAAGATAAACGAATTATCAATCCGGGACTCGAAACATGAAATGTGTCGATATAGGACCCGAATGATGGAAAACTATTAATCTAGGACCTAACATTTCTTAGGTTTTGATTTATTTTATTTTTTATTAATTCCATTGCTAATTTTGATAAACTTTTCTTCACAAAAGTTTATTAGTTTAATAAAAATAACTAATATTTAAAATTTTTAAAATAAAAAATAAAATAGAATTCATGACAACTTAGGTCCTAAATTGATACTCCGTAGTTTTCAATTATTCAGCTCCTAAATTGATAGTTTTCCATCAGTCGAGTCTTATATCGATACAATTCATCTTTCAGGTCTCAGATTGATAATTTATCAATCTTATCAGTTTAGTTTTATTTTATGAAATTTTAGTCCCAAATAATATACTCCGTAATATAATATATGTTCAATTAAGCCAACTAAGTCCATTAAATTAACCGGATCAGTTATGGTATTTGGCCCTCCCATTTAATTAAAAATAACAGGCTCAATGTTAAATAGAAGAAATAGCCCAGTCCAATAACCTAATGCGGAGTAAATGATTTACGAACGCACAGGGAAGTCGTCTTCTCCAACTGTACCGTCGACGCATGGACGACGTCCGCAGTTCCTACCCTCCTCTCTTCTTCATTTACGTTGCTGATTTTGGGGGTTTGGCTTTTGGGGTAAAAAAAATCAACTTTAAAATGATGTTGTATTCAGGTTGAGTTTGAGGGTTACTTGTGTGTCAATATACGAATATATGCCAGCCAATTGCCTTTTTTATGATAAAAAATTCTTCTATAACAGCCAAACAGGATTTAACTCTTTTTCTTCTTCCCAGGACAAAAAACAAGAGCTTAATCATAACAGCGAAGAATCTCAAGGCTTAATTATAACAACGAAGCACAAAAGTAGAAGAGGCAGATAGATGATCAGTTTCTTCTAAAAAGAATGAGAATAGGACATATCACATATATAGACATAACATCGGATATAATTGTTCACTCAAGAATGAAATTTGATTAATCAAGAAAGAATTATTCCTTCCTCCTGATGAATAATTAATATCCTCAAGGGTTCTTCACCTTAATCCTTAACTTCCTCGCTATGCTTGCTGCTCGAACGTGAATCGGTCTTTTACTGGAGTCACATTGTTCAACCTCTACCCAGTTGATCACTTTCAGCAATAGTGACTGAGGAACTTTACTAGCCCCCTTAGTTGTTTTCTTATTAAGGCCGCCCTTTTCCAGAGCTTTCTCAAGGAATCCCATGAACCAGTTTCCTGCTTCGTTCTCAATCTCCTTCCCAAGTTTGATCGTGTTGTTGGACAGTAATAACCCACCACCACCACCATTACTAAAAGAAGCCCCGGAAGACTTCTTGTTTTCGTCGTTCTCCGATCTTGTTTTCTTACAGGATGATGACCGAAGACTTCTTTCTGTAGGAAAGGATGCGATTGATCTGTAAAGTGCAGCCCTTCTCTTTGATGACTCAGGCAGTGCTATTTCCTGCAAAACTGAAGCAGCATTGTCGTCTTTTCCATTGTTTTGAGCAGCACTTTCTGTTACTGATGGAATTGATGATGCCACCACCATTTCTGCTATGGCTAAAACTAACTGCTCATAAAACTCCAGAAACTGATCGAACGCGGCTGCTGGGGATTCTGCTCTTGCGCTTCTGCTCAGTTTTGAAAACGCCCTACACCCAAACACCCACACAAAACCCCATCAGCTTCACATAGAAAACCTTTTGTTCCCCTGAAAAATTTAGGAAGATGTTTAAGATAGAGAATTTTGATTTTGTTTTGTTTTCATCATACTTCAAAGACCGGACTAGGTTGTCTGTAGCCGTTGCTTCCCTAAGCGCTTGAAGAGCAATTTTTTGTGCTTTTTCGTGCTGCTGTACTGCTTCCTGCATGTAAAACAGATGACAACATTTGTGTTAGTGTAGCATGTCACCAAGTTTGATCAAATTTGCTAATTTTCCTGCTTCCTCCAAGGGAAATACTCAACCACATTCTTTTCTCTGTGAGGTGGATCATGGATAAGGTTAATGAAAGGAAAAAAGTTGCTTACTAAAGTTATTTGGTGATGTTTGATTTACCTAAGAAAGTTAGAGCAGCTCTAATATATACTCCTCATTAACTAAATATGCAGATAATGGGTTGAGTAACAAATTCATAGAATTGGAGTCTTTTGGAAAGTGAAGCTATGCTTGTACTTCGATTTTTTTTTGTCTTTTGGAAAGTGCAGCTTAGCAGCTACGAACTAAATAGACCGAGTGCCCACAAATGTCTGACATAAATCATTGAATTTCGTTTTTTTTTTTAATTTCCCCACAGTTTTTTTTAAATCCCCCCCCCCCCCCCCGGAGTATATTTTTTCTCTATGCTTTCCTTCCTGTTTTCTTGCCCTAGTATTTTCTAAATTCCAAACGGCCCCCAAGGGAAAGAATGTTTGGAAATTCATTCACTGACTGTTAAGAATTAAACAATACCGCGCGTTAGGTAGCTAAAAACGTTGAAACTTCCTTGGAATTTATGTTTGATAGGAAGTCTTCTCAAGGATACATCTTATATACTTACTTTCCTTGGAGTTTAAAAGGTGGGGAAATGCTAATGTAGATAACAGAAGAAAATCAACTGGAAAAGAAACGGGGGAGAAAGAGTAGAGACACTACCTTCCCCAATAGGCTTAACTTTCCAGGCAAATTCATGGGCACGCTAGTGTCTTCTTCTAGAGGTGAATCAATGGGCTGAGGTTGTTCCATTAATGTAGACGATTTGGGAAAAGTTGCTGCCGTGTTTGCATTCCTTGAATTTGGTGGCGGTGATAAAATTTTCTTTTCCTGTTCTTTACAAAAAAGGGAAAAAATCATATTCACATAAAAAGAGAGAAGCCAAAACTATTCTTGATCATATTAAGTACAGCTGAGACACAGTACAAATACGCCAAACAATGCAAAATTTGGTCAGAAACCAGATATTGGGAGAAAAAAAGAAACAGAACCTAATAGGCTAACAGTAATGACTAGAATGAGGATTACCAATTGAGGAAGAAGCGGGTTTATACAACTAACACTTAACACTGAAAAGCCATTTACACTAGTATTGTTATTGTTAATATGATGACAGAAGAAAAATGTACCTACAGATGATGGTAAGGGGCTGCTGCAATTGGCAATTCTTGATCCAATACGACTACTCACACTTCTGCTCCTGCCCAATTTTGCAGTGGGTGTAAATGAAGCATAGCTTCTTCTAACAAGACTAGGACTGTCCTCTCCCTTTATCTCAGCAAATTTGGACATCAACCGGCCGCCCCCCACTACAGAAGACCTCAAGCCACCACCCTCATCCTTCCCAACTCTTCCCCGAACCACAGAGGCAGCGGGAGACATCGGAAAGGCGTGTTTCAGAGAGGTACAAGGTCTCTCTTTCGAAGGCGTGCATTGGTCGAAATCAAGAGGCATTGGTTTCAGAACCTGTGGGGATTTCCCATTTTGGCCCGTCCCCCAAGATCCTCTTCTTGGAGCAGAGGAGGAGTTAGGGTTTCGCCTCTTGTCCCCCTTTTCCCTCAACCCCATCAATGGTTCTGGAGTTCCCAACAAGGGGTGTCTCCCCGGCAATGGTTTTGCCCCTTTGACGACAGGAACCGGAGACCCATTCTCCAGTCGATCAACGTATATGAACTGTCCGAGCTGCATTTTGTTGCTGAGAACAAGGTCGTCCTGCTCGAATGGGAGACTGACGTAGATGGAATGCGAAGAATCTGAGACCTTTATGTAGAACCCGTGTTTGGGCCAGAGATCCTTTTCATCAAGATCTGCCGGAACTATGTCGGTCACCTGCAACAGGGAGCTTCTGTGCTCGCTTGTTGCCTTCACCCCGGATTTCATCCCATCCAATAGCTTCAACAATATCCCAGGGGCTAAATTCGCCATTCTGCTCCTTTATTTCAAGGTTTCTGACTCTCCACTCCTAATAATAATAATAATCAAGAACCTAAAGCCAGATGAAACTAATACAACAAGATAGGGGCGGCGGTTACCGGATTTTCGATTAAATCTTGCTACGTACTTGGGATTGAGCGAGAGTGGGATTATGGATTGGGGAGAGAGGAGATGAAGGTATTGTATGTATGGGTGTTGCAACGGTCAGGAAGGAAAGGAAGATGATGGACTGGGCACAAGAATTTTAAAAATCGCGGAACGTTATTGTAACGGTCATTAATACCATGGTGGGTCTGGACCATTAGTTTGAGTTTCATTTTTATTTCCCCTTTATTTTAACTTACTAACTTAGCACTTCGAAGTTGGAACCCTTATTTGTTTAATTTTGTTTTATGTATAAAAAATCAGCAACATATAACTCTCTTAGTCCACATCTTTTTCATCAAACACAAAAATATGCTCATTATTGCAAATATGTTTCCTAATTTTTGGGTTGATGTGCTCTACACTGCAATTTTTATTATTAATCGTTTACTAATACCAATTTATTCAAGTATGACTTTTGCGAGTTTTTTATTATTATGCTGGTTTTCCTAATTGTATCAACACATCATCTGACAAGCTTTCGTCACCGGCACCATGCTTCATTCATCGTGTCTTTATTGGATATACCCTTGGATATAAAAGTTATCGTTATCTTGATTCATGCTCTTGCCATGCGTATGTTAGTTAGGATGTCCAGTTTCATGAAATCGGCTTTTCATATCCTAGTCCCATTTTCCCAATGTGGGTCCACTTTCGATAGCTCCGGTGATCTCCCATCCACTGACCTTGGTTTGTTCAACATCACGACTAACTGTCTCTCTCAATCCACAAGCACCGAACCTAAGTCAAATTCTCCCTCCTCATTACATCTTATCCTCGTTCCTATATCTAGCTCTCACATCACATCACCTATGTCCCAAACCACCCTCGACTTCCTCCCAAGACAATATTTCGACCAATATCTCCCCCACCAAGAGTTTTGCCATTCATCTCGACCCCTCTATCACCTGCTCCTCCATCCCCTCGTTATCCTTCTCCTCCTAGTCAATCTTGGTACCATCCCTTTTGAATGTCCCCTTTGAATGTTCTCTAATTTCATTTTCAACGAATTTAGGATTCTATACGTTGATACTAATCACCTTTATATAACCCTTGAGTGTTATATTTTGAAGATATCCATCAAGCCAATAAACAAATTTTGTTTCTCTTAATTGAGTGTTATCAAGATTTTTATAGATCTCCAAAATTAGAATATCATGTAAGCTTGCTCGTACTGGGAAACCTAGCATGATCTCATGGACCCTTAGTTTGTTCAAACACCCTATTAGTCTGAGATGGAGGTTGCTTGGCTGATTATCATGTATTATTTTTCTTTATAATTGGTTAGAGATTATGGTGATTCTAATGAGGCTATAGGTACTCACCACCGATCTTGTGAGATCCCAAATAAATTTAGTATCACAACGTAGAATAAAATTGAATTCGTTCTATCTTGGTAGCATTTCATGGTTTCTTTGTGTTGTTTCTGTTTTTTGTTTGTTTCTTCCCATTACTTTTTTGATTTTTTTAAATCAAGTACGAATAAATTATCTGGTTTCTATATTCTATCCAGACCGCATTGTCAGAAAGACAAATCCAAACCAAATATGTTTGAGTCATATTTTCTGTTGACACTTTTCGGACACACAAGCAACTTACCGTTCTAAACAATTGTTTGTTGAAAAGGAATTTTTGAAATTTCCTAAAAATCCTCAATGTTACATCACTTTTAGAGTTTTTGTTCTAGTAACTCTATGAGTCCAGCTCATTTAAAAAAATCTGGGTAAGTATTTCTCCTTCTTTTCAACAATATTCTTTGTCTATGTAGAAGAAGTGTTATTTGTCATTCTTTTTGCCTAATTTTTTGTTTCACATTTCTTACAAAACTGTGTTTCGGAAGCAATGAGATTGCTTGTGTGTATACAAATCACACCAAGTTAGAAGTATAGTGTGGTCTTTATGATCATATATATTGATGACATTTTGATCATAAGGAATGATATCCTCTCATTAAAGTTCGTAATAGAATTGTTGTCCAAAATTTCATGATGAAAAATATAGGTAAAACGTGTTATATACTTGGCTTTAAGATCTACAGAGATGGAGTTAGTAGGATGTTGGATCTTTCATAATCCACGTATAGTGACAAAATACTACAACGATTTTAGATGGTAGAATCCAGGAAAGGATTCCTTCCAATGGGTCATGGGATATCATTATCAAAGAAGGATAGTCCTTTAACTAATGATGAAATCAAACACTTGAAAGAGATTCCATATGTTTCTGCTATTGGGTCAATCGTGTATGCTATGATTTGTACTAGGCCAGATGTGACATTTGCGCTCAGTATTGTTGGTCGATATTAAAATAATCTAGGAGAACCATATCATGGTGATGTTAAAATAATTCTTAAGTATCTTAGAGGAAACAAAAAACAGTGTTGGTTTATGGTGGACAGAAAGAATAAGTAGCATCTGATTACTCTCACGCTAGCTCCATGACCGATAAGCATGACTATAAGTCAGAATCAGAATATGTTTTCAATCTCAATGGAGCAGTAGTAGACTGAAAGAGTTCCAAACAAGAAACTACATCGTATTCGACAACTGAAGCCGAGTAGGCGAGTACATTGTTGCATCAAAAGTAGGTAAGGTGGCCATTTGGATATGTGATCGAGTTCTATAAAGATTTAGGGGATTGTTATGAATGATATTCAATAAATAACTACTTATTGTGACAATATTAGTTGCATTAACAAAGGAACCATGATGTGACAAGATGAACGGACATGTGCCAAGGCACTATTATGTGATTCGAGAGCAGATATCAAGAGGGAAAGTTTCAATAGAATGTGTTCCCATTGAGGATAATTTGGCTGATCCTTTCACCAAACATATGAGTTGTGAGAAACATACTAGACATTCTGAGAATCTAAGTGTTAGATGCATTGGTGATTGGCACTAGTCTAAGTGGGAGTTTTTTAATATGCATGTCCTAGCGACAATCATTTTTTGAAGACACATGTACTTGATAATTTTTAGTTTTTATATTTGGTATATATATGGTATTATACCTTTATAAATGATTTGTTTCGATTGTCAATATTTTTTTTCATATTTGTTTCATCGGAATTATATTTTTTCATTGGAATTATGTTATTACTAAGTAAGTGAGAGCTTATGGAACATAGCATAAGGTCTTAAAATAACCCTAATGAATGCTCATTGAGAATGGGATTGATGGATCGACGACCTAGGGGTAGCCGGAGGCCCGGAATCCGAGTAAAATAAAGAGAGGAGTTGATCGGAAAGCTCAAGCCCTTTCCACAAGCTGGAAGGTGATTCTTATACAAAAGGGGAATACTTGGTGCCTAAGTAAAAAGATGCTAATCTAATAAGGAGAGGACGCGTGTCATGCCCGTCTAACAAACTAAATAAACTGATTTAATGGGGTGCCGCCACGTGTAAAGGTGATTGGAGAGATAATTGGGGCAGCTGGCTGATTGAAACCGTTTCTGACAAATTATTACCAGAATACACGTGCGGGCTACACATGTATTATCCAAAATATTCTTTCTATTCATCGCTAGGAATGACGTGGCCTCCCTCAAAAGTAATGATGATGTGGCAGTAGCCTTGTGTGATATCTGTTCCCGCATATTTGTCTAAGTTCATGATGTTTTAGTCAAGCCCCGAGCTCCCTGAGGTTAGAGCTCGGATGCTCACGCTTATCACTGCAGGATACATCTTCGGTCTTCGGTTTTGTAATGTTGTTCCCTTCGTTGACTTCGATTGACCTTGCGTTCGTGTCCGAGGTCAGAGTTGGTGCCGGGCTCGACATGTTCGAGGTCGGCCTCATATCTTACCATGTCTGGGTGGTTCCCGAGCTCGGTGTTTCTACCGACCTCGGTGGGTCGAGGTCGGCCTCGGCCGGTCTCGTGTCCTTTGTCAATTTGTTGTCTTTGGCCTGATCCCGACCTCGGTGACTCGAGGTCGGGTCGGGGTCGGTACTTATCGGGAGTTTGGTACTTTGTGTATTTCGGGATGGATCCGCGATGTATTTGTCGGTGATTATGATACCCTTGAGCTATATGGGAATATACTCCATCAGGGATATTGGTAAGATTTGTATGTGAATTGCATCATACTTTTAGAAAGTGTAATTGATCTCACAACTATGAATTCTAGCAATTCATGACAGTCATATTTTGGATAATGCTGGTATACCTAACCAATAAACCATTTGGTGTGTTCTATTCATGTGTTTATGAAATTATTGGTGTCTACAGTAGTGTAATAGTCTCACGACTTGAGATTAATACGTTCTTCATGTATTGAGTGATTTGTTTTGACCATGAACAATGCTTGAACTCCAATCAGGAAAGACATGACATGTTTTGAGTGCACCACGAAGCACATAAAGTAGTAGTTGAGTTAAGAATAAATCCATTCCTCTCAATAGATTTAGAGAGAACATCTTACTTTTTATATCTAGTTTGATTATAAAGTCATTCGCCAATACAAAGATATATTCGCTTTGAATGAGAGACAATGACTAAGTTACTAGAATAGACATTACATCAAGTTCTATATTTACTTGAATGTTCGTGAATGAGCTAGAAAGACCATATCACTACGAATTCTATATAACAGACAACTTGTATAGTGCTAGCAAACCTCTTTATATATTAAGATTGTCTCATAAACTCTTTAGGGATTCTACTAGGACTTTACTTTGATTAGTACTCAACATATAATAATAATAATAATAATAGAAATAATAATAATAGAAATAATTATTTATAATAAAAAGGAAAAATTGAAAATAATAATCCCAACTATTGCCGATCCGATAACAATAATCCCAACTATTGATTATTATTGTATAATCCCAACTATATGGACTATCTGCCAATAATAGTTCATGACCGCAAATTACATGCTCTAACAAGTGAATTTTTAATAGAAATTAAGCGTAAAAGTTAAAATTCGGGATTATTTATAGGGATTACCTATTATATCTCTTTAGAAACTATAGGAATATATTTATAGTCGATCACCTCGGACCATTATTGGCGGAAGGGCCCTAAAGTTGGGATTATTCTGAAATAATCGATAGTTGGGATTATTATGAGCAGACCGCCAATAGTTGGGATT